TATTTTGTTTTTATTTTTTTTATGATTTTGATTTAAATAAAATAATATATAAAACTTATAATATCATATAATTTAAAGTAAATTTTTTCATATTTAAATATTTATAAATTAATTTAAATTTGACTTAAAATTTGATTTGAATTTGATTCAACTCAAATAAATTCAAGTCAAATTGAGTCGAGTTTAAAATTTATATAACTCGAATCAAGTCGAATTGAAAGATTTTATAAAATAAATTTGACTTGACTCGACTTGAAAAAAACGAGTTGAATAGAGTTGATCTTTAAACTCGACTTGACTCGACTCATTTGGAACTCTAGCAATATTATATGCTCTGTATCTTGTTTGAAGAACGCCTCTAATCTGGCTAAATATATTTTGGTTAAAATCTAGTAGGAATCTCTGGAGGAAATAAGCTCATAAATAAATGCTATTCAGATAGATAGGAAAATATTTTGGAAATCAATTTCTTATGTGTGAGAATTAATTTGTCGCATAAATAGTCACACAGAGTTACAAATGATTTGTGATATATTAGCTATTATATCATATATACTTTAACGAGAATCAAAAATGTGATAATTTATGTTATACACACCTATATGCGCCATACTGAATTTTGTCTTATATGGTGATAATTAATAACAGATAGCAATTCAAACAAAAATCTTCCTGAGAAATCAGAAGTGAATCTGTATGTTACCCTATCTAATTATTATCTTAACTGATATTTCTTAGCTACTAGAAGAACAATAAATATACTCTTCATATATTGGGATTAATTTGACTGAATTAATTATTCTAATATATTTTGAGTAATATTTTCTAAAATAAGCATAAAACTCTTTGCAAGCTATAACATATTCTTCTTGCATCTTAGGATTTATTACCATCTGTCCTTTTCTAAGTATATCTAAGAATTTCTTTTTATTAGGAATACCATCATTTCTCACTGCCTCTTAAACTCGTTTTACTAAAGATTCAGATCTTTTCTTGTAATTTCTGTAAGCTCACTGGATAACTATTGCATAGAAATTTTCAAACTGATAGTTATATTGTTTCGTAATCAAGAATCCCCAAGAATACTTCATAGATAGTTCATTAAAATAGTTATACAATATATTGGAGGATCTATCCTAGAATAAGCAAATCAGATTTTTTATCCCGCAGGTAGTACATTTATTAGGTGATCATACATGCAAATATATTATATATAGCTATTTATTTCATGAAAAAATAAAGTATAATATATGATATTAATCTTCAGCTAAAAGCAATAGTCAGAATCAGTTAGTTAAACTACTGTGATTTCTATCCTATCCTCCAATCTTAACACAATACCTTTTGGCTGTTTTACATACAGAGACAATATAAATAATTTACCTGTATTACTTCTACAATTTGATGATTGATAAGAAATTAGTAAAATCATTTCTTGTCCAGAAGGTGAAATGTAAGCTAGCTCAAAATTTGGAGTACTAGGCATAGTATTTTTTGCTATAGTTGTGATCTTGACCTTGAAGCAAGAGTAATTCTAATAATTTTTCATCAAATCTTTGGACTTAACTTCATAGGCCTATCTCCTTCAGCCACTATAATATTCTTTTTTAGACTCTACTTCAGTAATCTTCACTAATTTCTAGCATTTAAAACAGATAGCCATCTGACTTTTATAGATACTAGGTCTACGATATTCAAAAAGAATACCATATAAATCATCATTAACATAGTATATTGTGAATTTTACTTGCCTAAAGGAAGCGAAGAGACAGTACACATAATATAAATTATATTCTTACTTAGAAAGTAGTTCTTGCAGAGAACCTCTTATATGATTAGCCCATTGCTGGAGAGTTTCATGAGGTCTAATAATAGATAAATAATCATATTGTTTTTTTATTTCAACTACTTTTTCATATCGATAGTTATCAATTTGAGGTTGATAGTTAAAAACATGTTCCATATTATATCCAGGGTGAAAATTAATAGGTTTAGGTACAATTTTATTATAAACCCTATCTATAATAATTTTAATCATATCACCAGGTATAATTATTAGTAAATTAGAGATTTATAGCAATTTCAGAGTTTTATAGTATTTTTAACGAATTTTGGCAATTCTTTAGCAACTTATACTAGATAATATCACTATTCAAATTTATATGGATTTATTGATTAGCAGTTAATTAGTTTGTAGCCTATTTGTAAGACTACATATTGCTAAATCTAAATTCATTTTTCTAAAGACAGATTATATAGTTAATCGTTTTGCAAAAAATAAATAATATCATAAATAATGTATGAATATAATTGAGATAAATAACGCTATTATTCAGTTAAAAGATATTATGTTTATTTCCTTGCATTTTTTTTGCAAAGAAGCCCAGTATTCATTAACATCAATGAAGCTAGATACACTTGCACTATATTGTATTAATGCAACAGGCTTTCATGGTAATAGAGGAAGAATTAGCCTATTTAATGTTTTAGATTTTTGATCGTTACCATTGGTAATGGAAATTAGTGAAATCATCTTTTGCCTAACATTAGTAATACAAGCTAGTTCAAAATTTGAAGCACTTGACATAGTATTTTTTGCTACAATTGCTTTATATTGTGCATAATTTTCATAATTAGCTGTAAAATTTGAATCATATGATACTGATGCCAACTTATCCTTTTCTGAGTGTGAAGTAGATTGGGAGAAAAGCTCTAGACGAAGACAATTAATTTTAGCCTCTTCTTGTAATATGTATTGTTTATATTACCAGATCTGAAATTCTCTAGTATCAATAGATTGGAGAATTTCATTTCTTTTTGCATGTTCATTCAAAATAGTATTTCTAGAAATACATCTTTTCAAGTGGCTATCATGACTGCGATGATTGCTATAAAAAGTTTTAGGTATGAAAACTAAGGAGTCATATACACTACAATATATATAATTTGTTCGATTAGTGTGAATTTTATCATTTTCATAAAGCTTTCCATATATTATAATATATCCATTCTTAGAAAGGATTCTTGGATTCTCTTTAAGTATTTTTCTAAATGGATCACAGATATAGGAGCATCACATTTCTGATATTTTGTGATCACGTCTTTTGTTAAAAGCAATATTCCATCAAATATTCTTATATATTCTTTAGAGTCTCTATAAGTATTATTTGCATTAATTAGCTTAGAATAAGTTTTACTATCTAAATCTATAATAGTGTTTAATAAATTATAACGATTTTATAATTTTATTGATTTATAAGCATTTTTAACGAATTCTAACAATTCTTTAGCAACTTATATTATAGAATATTATCATTCAAATTTATATGGATTTATATAGGATCATATTAGTATCATATCTTGGCTAGGCTAATTTTATATTTACATGCGGTTTGTGAATCTCTTGTGATTAATAGGGATTAGTCAAAGACGCTTTGCATGATGTATAACATAAAAATTTGTATCATCCTGACTCTCAGACAGTTCCTGGCACTTCCTTGCAACTTTTTCGTAACTCAAATTATGAGGATCAACCAATCAGATTTTGTGTAGTAACTAAGCCACCATTATTTTTTCGATCGTTATATTAATCATTAATCATTACAAAAATTAAAGTACTGACTGCACACGAAACTAAATTAGTCTTACCAGTCCCCACTGATTTGCTGACTCATTCCAATTATGTCCTATATAAGTGAATCTTTTTAGCTCTTCCTCCTTCCATAAAATTTAAAATGTCTGCACAGTAGGACGAGAAACAAACTCGAATGCTTATTGATGAATGTAAAAATGAGAACAAAAAATACTATTAAACTCTGAACCGTAATAAGAAAAACTTTTGGGAAGATATTGCGAATAAAATCAACTGAGTAAATAATACTAATTACTTTACAGAGAAAGATTGTAATAAGAAATTCTTAGCTCTAACTCGAGCATACTATATAAGTAATAAGATAATCGAGCAGTTGAAGACACTTTGCTTATACTTAACCCGATTCTGATCTGATATTTTTGATAAATATAGACGACCTTGGCCTATAAGAAAGCTAAGGCGGAAGCTGAGAGTCTCTTAAGAAACTAACTATCAACTAATGAGAGATCTGAAAGCAGAAGCGGGGGTCCACCAACTACTATAGTAACTAAAAAGAAGAAGAGAATCTTATTGGATAAAAATATTATGAAGAGTTCTTTACGGAATTTTGGAAAGAACCTGGTATTTGTTTTTCTGATATTCAAATTTACTTTGGTAAATCCAGGATATTCTCCCTAAAATATTTATTATTTCTAGGATCACAATATTCTACGACGCCATAAACACTCTTAACACTTAGTCCTCTCGAAACTGGATCTGATACTTCTTCCTCTTCACATAAACAACCCAAATCATCAAGACCTGTAATACCTTCTACTGAGACTCCTGTAGTCTCTAGACCTGTCATTCCAATACTTCCCTTTTTTTCTCAAAGTGCAAAGGTGATTAATGTCACTATTAATTACAGTGACAAAGAAAGCAGTTCAGAAAGACAATAAGAAATAGAATATTTTTTTTTATTAATATTGTACGTATAACGCTTAACAACTGTAAAATAGTATTATGGTCAGTTCTTTAAGATGCTTATGAGTATTAAGCGAAGCAATATATATGAGTGATAAGCAGAAGGTTTAATTTGATATTTAGATTTAGAAGAATGCTGATAAATTAACAGTTTATTTAATAACTATAACAATAGAGTACTGCCTCAGTCAGCGCTCTGTACTATACAAATTATGTCAAAAGGATTAAACTAAACTATTATATAAAACTATATGTCAGACATACCGCTAAGCTAAAGGAAATTGTCCCCTATTATATAAAATGAAAAATATAAAGTTATCGAAGATATAAAAGAAATAAATATAATAAATAAAATATAATAAATATAT